TAAAGCATTGCAGGTCTAAAAAAACAAAAACCTGCAATGGCTGAATGTAAGGTCTATCCATATATTGAATCACAAAATTAACATAGCATACCCAATAGCACTAATACTGGACATTCGAGTGATATATTTCTCTCCTTGTGACTACGGAGCAACAACCAAATGAAAACTACTAGCAAGCTAACAAGTGTTATAGTTTGCAAGCCAAATCTTCCTTTTGTCTTCCCAGCATATCTTTATTGTGCCAGAAATATAGTGCAAGTATATATATATATTTTAAATTTTATTTCTGACTATCCCAAAAAACTTCTTATTAGCAATAAAATCTTTCATCTCAAATATTGCACATAAATCAGCTTTCATTTTCTAGATCTAGGCTATATCTCTACTATAATCAACATATCATTAACATACAATAGAAAATATACAAGATCTATTTGTCAACTATTTGCTATACACAACTATAAAATGGGCTTCTCATAAACTCATGATGGATTATGATATTGTCAAACCTAAACCATTGCTTGATGAGTTGCCCCTCAAACAAATCACTATTGAGAAAAGTTATTTCAAATCCAATTGTTCAACACAACAACCTTTGACAATGTATTGTGAAAAAAGTAATACATGGTAAAAAATTCTCTTTAAATTTCATACCTTCTTTCAGATTGCAGCCCTTTTGCATAAAAGCAGGCTTTGTATCAAATTATGTCTTCACCATGAACTCCTTTTTTTTAACCATTAGCTCCTTCGCAATTGAAGATCTGTTTATAGCCAACAATTATTTTTTTTTCAAGTTAAAATAAATCCCAACAGTTATTCTTCTACAAAGACCTTTGGTCCGCACAATTTCGATTCTCCAACATTGTCAGCTTCCTAACCAGTTAGTTGATTACTTTTGATCACAACAACTCTAAAACACTTATAGCATAAGCAACCATATAGGTACAAGAGGAATCCTCATAATGAAATCTCTAAGGTGCTATAATATGCTTTTTAACCTTATAAGAAGCAATATGTTATTTTGGCTATGGTATGTTACCTCTTCCTCGGTTAGGTAAAATAAGCTACTATGATGAGCTATCATTTGATTGTTGCTCAATCTCAAATTTGACATCTACATTTTGACCTCCTAAAACATCAATCTACACAAACTTCTAGCTCATTAAACTTGTCATCCGTACCAATTAAAATTCCAAGTGACTGGCATCAAAACACCTTATATCCTTTTAACTCATCTACATACCAAAAAATTTTATGCTTTATAAAACTTGAGTATAGTTTATCCTCCTTAGCGTTAGCATAAATAGTTCAATCAAAGACCATTAGAAAATAATAATGACCATTCACTAAAAATCATGCAGTTTTAATAGGGTTTGACAACAAAATTGTACTCGAACGAACAACAACAAGCCTTTATCCCACTAAGTGGGGTCGGCTACGTGAATCCTTTTTTCTACATTGTGTCCTACTAAGTGTCAAATTTTCATTTAATTTTAATAAATTAAATAATTTTTTATACAACTACCCAAGTCTTTTTAGGCATATCTCTATCTTTCTTAACATAAGTCGGATCTAAAACATCTACACTCCTAATCAGATTATCGAATGGTGAACGTTTAATGTGACCAAGCCATCTAAGACAACTCTCTCTAATCTTATATGCCACTGGAGCTACACCAGCCCTTTCACGGATATTCATTTTGCATTTTGTCTCTAAGTGTCGAGTCACTCATCCACTTAAGCAATCTCATCTCCGTAACACATACCTTAGTTTAATGCTTTTCTTTTAGAGGCCAACAATCTGTGCCATGAAGCATTTCAAGTCTCACCACCATCTTGTAAAATTTTCCTTTAAGTCTAAACAGTACCTTTCTATCTCACAATAAGTCGATGCATGCCTCCACCTCAACAATCCAACTTGAATTCTACTAAAAACAACCCCATCTATATCACCATCACTTTAAACAATAGACCCCAGATATCTAAAACATTCACCCCTTGTAATTATTTGATCACCCACTATGGCAACTCTGCCACTACATCCACTAATAGTAAAATTATATTCCATTTATTCAATTTCAAATATACTAAAACGAAGGCCTTTAGACTCTAATTTAGACCTCCATAACTCATTTTTTTTCCAAAATTGAGCCTCACCCTTATGATCCTACCCACTAAAGTCTTATGTTTGACAATGTAATCCTTTTGACAAAAGATCTCAAACTCAACAAAATAAACTTCTAAGCTTTTTTTTAATCCTCATTTGTTCTTTTATTACTTCTCAATATGTCTTTCACTTTCCAAAATATATCTTTTTAACTTGAGCATAAGAAACTCGTGCCTAACTTAGTTTAAGGATGCATCAAAACCCACATTTTAGTCTAAAACTGTAGGGCACAATAAGTCAAAAGGAATACAGTTTATAGTACTCTTGGTTCTATGCACTCCAATAGAAAACTTTAATTTATGATGCTTAACATAAAAACAAAAAGGATAGAGCTTTAAAACTCTAATCTTCTAACCAAAAGGCAAGCCTCACTTGCTCAACTCATTTACGGCTCGCTCTGACATATGCCCAAGCCATATATGACATCATCTATATGTCCACAGAAATAAGCCCTCAACTAGGCTTTTGTTCCTTACACATACTTCAACTCTTCTGATAGAAAAGCATACTTCACCTTTATCATGAAAATAATGTCATTTTCATATAGCAAAATAGAGAAAATGTGCTTGTTAATGAATGATGGAATGCATAGTAAGATCCAAGCTCTAATACCATTTTCAATATTTATATCCATACTTGCTAGATCCAACAATAACCTTTTTGTATGCATCTAAATGCTTTTGCAATGATGTGTCATCTTTCATGTTAAATACAAGCAAATTCTACTTCAGATAGAGAAGGATGGAAATGGCCTAATCTTTTAAGAAGATTCCCATACATGTACGATACTTTGATCAACCACATCTCAAACAGGAATGAAAAAAGAGGGCTTTCTAATCCATCTCTACATCCATGATATTAGGGAATCATTCACTTCAAAAATATGACAAAACTAACTCTCTTTGGACAAAGATACTCTCATCTACATCATCAAGATCTTGCAATCATTTTTCCAAAAAAATTTCACAAACTCATAATTTGTATTGCTGATAGAAAGTTTTGATGAGACCATCTCCTTGATTCAAAATGGCTAAATTTTTTATACCATGTTGTTGTATAGAACTGACCAAAGCATCAATTTAAGATTGCCAAAAAGAGCAATTGAATTAACCTATAAGAAATAGAACTAACACCATACATATAACTATGATATGAAAATAAGAATACAATTAAAAATATAAGAGCATCATGATTTAATTGGTTAAATTAAGAATGACATACAAATATAGGGCCAGGAGGCACAAATAAATCCATTATCAAATGTATGGAGAAGTATAAAATAAGAAAAGAAACGAAGTATAACAAATCCTCTTCTCACAGAACTAACAAGGAGAATAATATAGAACTCACTAAATGTGGAGAAAAGCAAAGCTTGAGAAAAGAACTTGATTAAAGATCTCCTTTCTCCCTCTGAAAATGTGCAAGAAACTGCAACCACAAACTCCCCACGGCTCATGACATCTTAGAGCTAGCGCTCATTTTTTTGAGCAGAGAAAATAAAGTTGAAATCACTTAACCGCTGCTAAACCCATCCAGATTTGATTATGGGAGTTTATGATTAGGAATATTTCTTTGACTTTTGTAATTTAACCATTGAGGTTTGATATAATCCAACACAAATAATCATAAAAGATGGATAGTTGCATGAATATCAAATTGTTATCAGTTTGTTCACAGTGGTGCTACGAAGGGAAAAAAAATTGTAAGAAAATATTAAATGATGATATGAAACTAAGCACGGGAATGAATATTTTTGGGAAATTAATTCATATGACTCCAGAAAAATCCAAAATAGAGGTAACAGATGATTTAATGCAAGCTCAATTTGCTTTTCTAAAATAACCGGCTACATTTATTCGTTGAATTTAACAAGTATTAAGTCAACATTTTCCACTTCAACCTATCTACTATTTATGTCATAAAAAATGTTAACAGTTCATGTTTCCTGTAGAAGTCTTAGTAAATAAATTTGATCTTGAATAAAGAAAACCTGAATAACAGAAAGAAAGGGGTGGAATCCTAGTAGTATATACATGTCACTTTATTTGAGAATCTGGTATGGATATCAGATCGAGGCTTTCGGGCTTTAATTAGGAGAAAAGTGTCAAAATAGCCCCAACACTTTGTAAAGACCCATTTTAATCCTACAGTTTATAAAATTGTCAGATTAAACCCCAGAATTTTTTAATGAGGCTAAAATAATCATCTTTAGGGACTATTTCAGCCAAAAAATGAAAAAAAGGTCTAGGGACTAATTCGGCATTTTTGTGGACTCTGGGATTAAAATAAGCCCATGTAAATAGTCGGGGGACCATTTTTGCACGCTACTCTTTTAATTAATATGCATATAAACATAACATAAAAAAGATGAGTAAATCATCCTTGCATGCCAACATGAGGGAAAGAAATAGACAAAGTCATCAGGAGATTTTAGAATATTTCAAGCGATGAAACAGAAGTCGGAAAAAAAGTATATGGTCTATTTGCCTAACAGCTAGGAATCATTTTCCAAACAAAATAGGTTGGACAGTAGCTAGCTAGCTTCTCAAGTGAATTTCTTAAGTGAACTATTTCATATAAAAAGTAAGCATAGATAGGCGCAGCTAGATGCTCATAATTCATGAAGAAAATGAATTATAAAACAATTTCCGTAACAAAAATTTCATTTGTCACGTATTATTCTGTGTTATTAGTCAGTATTGGTAATTTTACTAGATTGATAAGCTCAAATTTGCAGCAATTCCTATATATTCACACACAGCTTAGACATTAAAACTATCTCTGGAAGTTCTACTCATTAACATTCATCTACTAAGCCACATTTATTCCACAGAATCACAACTTAACAGTGGTTGAAGCAGATGGTAACTATGTGAAACCATTCAACGTGAACGACATGGACGTCTACTCGGGCGAAACTTACTCCATCCTCATCAGAACCGATCAAAATTCATCTTTAAACTACTGGATCTCGATTGGTATTAGAGGAAGACTTCCAAAAACCCAACAAGCTCTAGCCATCTTAAACTACCATCCTAACTCCCTCTCAATGTTACCCTCTTCCAACCCTCCTGTCACGCCACAATGGAATGATTATACACATAGCAAAGCATTTTACTACCAAATACTAGCAATGCATGGCACGCCGACGCCTCCACCCAATTCTGACAGAATGATTTCCCTCCTTAACACCCAGAACAAAATTGACGGATATATTAAATGGTCGATCAACAATGTCTCGTTGGCTCTTCCGCCAATACCGTACCTTGGATCGATGAGGTATAGCTTGAAGAACATTGGAAAGCCGCCGGAGAATTTCTTGGAAGACTACGACGTGATGAAGCCCCCTATTAATCCAAACACAACAAAAGGAAGCAGTGTTTACAAAATCGAGTTCAACAACACTATCGATGTAGTGCTTCAGAACACGAATGCTTTGTCCGGGAATGTGAGCGAGATACATCCATGGCACCTGCACGGGCATGACTTTTGGGTCCTCGGTCACGGTGATGGAAAGTTTAGAAAAAACGACACATCTAAGTTTAATCTCAGGAATCCGCCGCTGAGGAATACAGTTGTGATTTTTCCCTATGGATGGACGGCAATAAGATTTGTTGCAAACAATCCTGGAGTTTGGGCATTTCACTGCCACATAGAGCCACATTTGCACATGGGTATGGGCATAATTTTGGCTGAAGGAGTTGAACTCATAAGTAAAGTGCCGAATGAAGCGCTTGCTTGTGATATTACAGGACAGTTGCTGACGAAAAACAAACCTCATTGAAGAAGATAAGGATGTTCATAATTGGATGTAAATAAAAGGAGGGTTTAAGGGTGTGGTTTGCGAACTCGGCGGTGATTATGGAAAGTAAATGGGATTTTGAGGCTTTGTTTCTTTACTTATCAGTTTAATGCAGGAAGTATATGAAACATGATATAAAGCATGGCATGTCTTGTGTTAGAAAGTATACGTCCAATTTGATTCATTTTGAGTGCTTAGATGGTTGGATTTAATTTTTAAAAGTAAGCTGGAGTGTTTTAAGTTGAAACTAAATGGAATGAGTTCTTTCAAAAAGGTGGAAAATGAGAGGGCAAAAAAATCACTTTCAAATTTGGTTTTTTACTCTTCCCAACAGCTCAAAATATTTAATGAGAAGATGGTCAAGAATATTACTTATAATAATAATAATAATAATAATAATAATATAATAAGAATTTGAAGGTCATAAAAACGAACCTCATTGCAATTCAAACAAAAATAAAAATAAAGTTCACAAAAACTAAGTTACTACAGAAACAAATAAATATTAAAAAGAAACTTCAATGTGACTCACTTTTGCACCTACAAATTACTCGAGTGAAATAAATTGAATTTAGAAAGAAACAAGCAACAGAGAAAAGAGAGCTAATAGTAGATATTATATGCAGGGCCTTTTATTTAAACTAATCTTTCAAATGAATGGAAATTGTTGAAGTTGAAGATTGGACAAAAAGACTAGCATTTTTGAGTTTGGTTCAGGCAGTGATTGTGAGAATGAAAATATATTTTGTTCATTTTATTTTTTTCTTCACAAATTAATGTATAACATACAAATTGTAGCATGCAAAATTATTATCAATTAGATTGCAACAGATAAGATCTTTTGTTTTCTAATTTTGGCCCACTTCAAGTAGTGAAAGTTAGGGGAACCACTTTTGAGAAATTTGCTTAATTTTATCAGGTAAGAAATACTTCATTTTTTTTTTTTTTTGGTTATGAAGAAACCCTGAAACAAGTATCTACAAATAGAGGCACTCGACGATAGTCTAAAATGGATATAAGCATCATATATAGATATATACACATCCACAAATGAATTCACATAAATAGAAGTACATACATGTGTGTATACATGGATTATTTGTTGTATGATACATTTTTGTAGATTGTAAGAATGGATTTATGCCCTAAACAAAATATACTGCGTTATATACGAAATTTATAACAATAAAATAAAAAGTTAGGACATTAATGAAAAACTTTTTATATATATATTAATATAGTTAATATAATGGATAATTCAAAGTATAATTTATTATTTAATAAACTATAAAATACATTTTACATCATTTTATAATTGCGATGCATACTATAATATATTGTATAATGAATTAGAATGGGATGAGTCAAATGATGAGGATGGTTCATATAACATAAAATTTATAAAATCAAGTTTGTATGCATGTACATGTGTGAGCGTGTGTATCTCGTGCTAGGACTTTACAGTGCGAATGAGGCAAGAGTATCATATTTAGTCGCCTTCAATTGACTTCTACGCAAATAGCTAGAGATTAAATGGCTAAAACCCTTATACATGACTTCCAAGAGAAAGGAGTCACTTCTCAATTCTCTCGACTACCAAACAACTAAAACAGTCTTACTTTGCTCATCTGAATCATCTCTCACTTTTGACTTTCTATTATGTGCAACCAAACAAGTTCCAGGCCGCATTCTTTCCTTTAAAGTGACTTGAAATAGTTGAAATTGATGTACTTATATAACTAACTATTCAAACATTTATATTTTAAAATCTAACAATAAATTGTAGGCTAAATGTTGAGGTGCTACAAAATTAACAACATATCTCTTCAGTGAAATTCAAATTGAGGAGAAAAGTATAAACCCGACAAAGCCAAAATGAGTCAACCATCAAGCATCACTAAGGGAATAGAGCAACCACCAAAATTTTCAATACAAGTTTGCACAATCAAATGTTTTTAAAATTCATTAATAATCATGCATGGTTACAGTGTCTAGCATTAATAATCACTTTTAGCTAAAATGGGAAACATTTTAACCAATTAAAATCCATCGAATCGATATCTAAGCTTCTATTATCTAGCTACAACATTATGAAAGAAGTGGCTATAGGAGAAAAAAAATGGCATTCTAAATAGTGTATATTTTGACTAGCCCTAAATAAAAAGCGATAACCCTCAATATTTGCAGATCTCTTGATTGATTGGGGCAATTCAAATCTGATTGGACCATGTTTATGGCTTATTTTTATTGGTTTGGAACCATCCAAACATTCCAATGGATAGAGGTGGTTAACGATGCAAGAGGGGAAATGAAATTCGAGTTTTCATTATATATTTCAAGCTTGAATTTCGAGTGATTATTCTTCCATTGTGCAATTTTTATGCAACTGATTGCCAAGGAATTATTTTTCATGATTTACATTTTTTTTTTAAGCTCAATTTGCTCAATTTGTGCTACATCAATAGTTTCTCAAGGTTTGCTCATTAAATCACGTCTTAATGATCCTAAACCCTAAGAGGATCTACAGGAACGCCAAAGGTCCAAAACTTAGCCCAAACTTAGGCATAATTGACATACCTAAGCCCTAACCAAAAGCAATCAGTTAACACAAAAAAATAGATTTGAAACGTAGGAACCTTAGAGGGACAACTCAGCCTCCCATGGACCAATGATGCCCTTAGTTATGAAAAACAACCATCTTAAATTCTCGAAACAAACCACTCTCAACGTGAACTATTTGTCATCCAATCCTTCTCTCTATGAGACGGCCAAAACCCAATTTTTCTAGACACCAATTGCTTGGTGCCAACCCATCTAAATAATAATAGTTTAGCACCCCTTCGTCTTGAGTTCTTGTCACTATCATTTTACTTAATGCATACCATCAAATTCTCCTTCTTAGAACATATTATCGACTTTCCTTCTCAAGACCTATTATCAATTTTACCTATTAGTACCAATGGAACAGACAACTCACTAATGAGGCTCACTTTGTATCACATCAACTTAATTACTTGGAATCCATGTCCTTGTTTACAAAATCTTGATGCCTAAGGACAACCTCCTATTTACCTAAGGCCTTAAAAATGAGCAACAAGCTACAGGTTCTTCCTAAATTCGCCTCAATCACCCCATCATTATCAAAAGAGGGTAAACACCACTTAGCAAGAAAGCATAAACTCTATTTTGGATTCTCCTATTGAAGCTAAAAGAGGAAAGGAGGCGAACCAAGAGAGTATTTTGGACATAGATTTCATCTTGTTTCAAAATTTTCAATTCAAATCCGTACTCTTTAACATCTTATTCTCCTATCAACAACCCCTCCCTCCTCTTAGATCACTTTTACTCAAAATCTCTTTTTTTTTTTCTCCCCTTGAAGGTAGAGTTGACACTTCCTCTCTCCCCTAAAGAGGATTAAAAAGTTCAAGGCACACTGTCGGCGGGGAAAAAGTGTGGGGATGGTTTGTTTGTGGTTTGGGGGAGTTGTCCGTAAGAAGCTGTCGGTCACCGGAATTGAAATCTCGTTACCCGCCTCGGAAGGACGTATATGTTTAAGTTTAGAAAATCAAACTGACCCCATATTTTTCATAGTTTAAAAGAATGAGCGCTTTACCTCAAATCCTGTATCTATCCCGAGGGATAAACACAAGACTTGAGGATGAGGCTCGATCAGGTAAACTAAGATATATATGACGTTCGTTTAGTCTGCGAAACCGTTTTATTTGCCGACAAATTCCCCTATTTAATATGAAAAATTAAATAGGATTTATTTTAAGTTGGGTTCGGAAAAGCTTCCTATAAGGGCAAGCCCATATAGTTAATTACATCTTAAATGAACGAAGTCACTTAGGAAGAGCCTTGATAAAAATCAGAGAATACTATCTTCAAAGAGATCAAAAGGATATGACTTTTCAACAAAATTGGACAAAGAGGTGTGCAAAGGGGACTTGTACAAACTTGGAATATTAATTACAAGATCCAAAAGAACAAGAACTAGGGGATGCCACAGATCCAGAGGAGATCATCGGTGGCTTCCCAATCTACCCTATGATTTGGCTTCAGTTTCGGAGAGAAATATTCAGATGTTTCATCCTGCCAATTTTATTTAATTGGGGTTTACATTCGTGTGAAACGATCGCACAAATAGCCTGGAAGATGTGAGGATTTAGGTCGTAACGAACGACAACCTCAGAATCCTAAAACGAGTTAGAGTTTAGATCATACAGCAGAGCCATACGAATACCTAACGAAAAGGTTGAGGATTTATGTTGCGCTAGGCGAACAACCTCGCAACCCTGTTTAGCTGGGAGAGACATGTTCTGCTGTTGAAGATGGCCGTGCTGCCCACCGCGCTAACTCCAAGCTCCTTGTCGTAATGAGTTTAAGTTTTATAGGGTATCCAGTTATGATGTCAAATCAAACGACCTCATGGTGATAGTCCTCTAAACATCCTATATGAAAAGAATGCATGCTTAAGGCTATACATGGTGATAGACCTCATGGTGCAGTACAGGGCAAGCAGTAGAAAGCACAATAAAAGAAACAATGTACATGTCATACATGACAATAGCAGGTATAGTAAAAGGGACAGTATAACATGCTTTATAGAGTGGTAGCAAGTACAGTAGAATGAACAGTGTAACATGTTTTACAGAATAATAGCGGGTAGAAACAGGAATAATATAACATGCTGTACAGAACAGTAGCAGGTAGGAACAGGAATAGAATAACCTGCTATACAGGACAGTAGCAGGTATAAACAGGAATAAAATAACATTCTGTAAATGTAAAACGAACTTGTACGCCCGTGGGGTCCACTGATTCTTAAATATAGCAAGCTGAAATATATTGCAAAAAGCGAAGTCTGGAAGAAAAGCTGTCCGAGAAATCCGAAGAAAAGTGTAACGACGACTCATGACCGAAAACTCGAGAAAATCAACGAGAAAAGACTCAAGTAAACCTCTTCAAAAATCTCGAGAAAATCTTAAAAAAAAAAAGAAACACAAGTGCTCTGTCCAAAGCTTCGATAAAACAAAAGGTTCGGGTAAGGGGGACCGCAAGCACTTGTGTAGGGCTAGGCTCAGCTATATATATATATTCGAGGGTCCACGAAGGCTACTCGGTCACCCGAATGTATAGAACCCGTCACTCGTCTAGAAGTGTGCCCTGAACCTCACCTAGAGGGCTACTTCCCAGCCTAAACAGGTATTCGTCAGGTGGACAATCAATTTTAAAATGTATTTTTAAAATTTATGTTTTTGACGTGCACACAAATTTTAAACATGCA